AAACCTGTTAGAAGATACATGAATTAAAATGCTATTTGTATTTAGCTTACCTCAGGATGCAAATGCAGCATTTGAATTAGCTCCTCAGCGAGATGCCTGAGCTATTATGACACTGTGGCAGAACCTGGAGACTGTTCAGGAGCTTCTGGTTTTTGTCCCAGACAAACCACTCAGCCTTCCCGAATCTAAATTTCCCAGTGGTAAAATGCAGGAATAAAAAACTACTTTCTATGTTCTTCCCAGCTCTGAGATCCCATCACTTTTGTACCTTATTCTACCACCCATTTCTTTAACAGCACAGCTGTGTCCGCCATTTTGGCAATATCAAAATGCCCAGGGGACGATTCCGCTGGAAGGAAATTGAGGCATTGGAGGTTCAGTAGCCAAGTGGCTTGTGGTTTAAAATGTTTTATCCCCTAGGATTTTGAATCAAAAACTGTAACTGTTACCATCTCTCAAAATAGCATATTGACTAAGCTCAGGACCTTTGGTGTCAAAAAGCCAGGGATCAAATCCCAGCTCTGTCACTTAGTAGCTGTGTGACCTTGAATAAGTTATTGAAGTTCTGCATTTCCCAGTTTACACCTTGTAAAATCCAGGCAACAATAGCTATCTCACTGAACTTCTGTCAGTATTGGAATGAGATAAAATACAACCAGGCTTAGAGCAAAAGTTCTCTATAGGCTGGTGGTTTTTATTAACAATTTTTTAAACAGAAGGAATGGTCTTTATTGGTTACAGTGAGAAGTGGAAGAGGAGGGGATACAACAGCTCCTGCTCCAGGGGTGGCATTAACAGACTTGGTCATCACCCTCCAAAATTTAACAACAATCTCAGCATAATGCTTCAAAACCTAGATTTTGGGGTGCTGAAGATATCTCTCTGATCCATCAGTAATTAGCCATTTGATGTTGGGTGAATTAGTTTAAGCCAAGTTACTTAGACTCTCCAAGCCTCAGTTTCCTCATCTATAAAAAGGGGATGATAATCCCTCTCTTGATGGGTGTTATGAAAATTAATTGATATAATTAGCTAGCAAACTGTCCAGAACTCACTGGACAAACTCTGTGAACAAGACCTGCTTTTATTAGTATTGTATGCCATTGGAATATAGGTGGATGGATTAGTTTACTAGGATTGCTAAAACAAAATACCACAGACTAGGTGGCTCAACCTACAGAAATTATTTTATCCAGTTCTAAAGGCTGGAAGTCCAAGGTCAAGGCACCAGCAGGATACTGTCTTCTTGTATCCTTGGCCTTTCCTCTGTGAGCCCACATCCCTGGTGTGTCTTCCTTTTCTCATAAGGACACATGTCCTACTCAATCCTGTTTTTATGACCTCATTCAACCATAACTACTTCCTTAATGCCCTAGTTCCAAATACAGTCATATTGAGAGTTAGGCCTTCAACGTATGAATTTGGGGGGGACACAAAGAACCAGCAGTCAGACTGCAGTAGATTAAGGGAAAAGCAAGATGTTGGGCATGCACCCCATGGATATAGTCACCTTTTCAGAGAAGTTTGACAGTATAGGAGAGATGAGAGGTGGTCATTATTTTTACCATTATTATTTCTAATGACTTTGAAAGAGAGAGTGTGATAATGTGGAAAGAACATAAGCTGTGGTGTCAAACACTTGGGTGTAAATCCTGTCTCCATCTTTTTTTCCATGTGACATCTGGCCATGCATTTCTTCACTTTTGTAAGATTGTCTGCATGTATGTGAAAAATGGACAATTATACTTCCTGGTGTGGGTTATTGTGATCCTTAGAATAATGCCAATACGACACCTAGCCCATTCTCCTGGAGTATAGCAGGAGCTCAGTAAATGTTGGGTACTGTATTGAAATTCCCTAAGATGCATGCTCTTGAAAGGCGGCTGAGTCAGAACATGAATTCAGAGTCCTGTGTGGAGTCACGCTGTGCTCCCCACAGAGTTTGCCTCCAGGAATCAGAGTTGATTGGGTTTGGTGGTGATGCTTTTTAAGTTTATCATATGCTGGTGATTGCTGATGACTTCAGGTATGTTTTTAGAGCCTGTCAGCCTCCTAGAAATAGAAACAGCCCTTTGGCAGGTAGGAGTCATTAAGAAGTAAGGTACCAGACAGCTGGAAAAACAAGAGAGCCCGCAGGCAGACACTTCAAGTGTGGTACTTTTTGAATATTGCATGTGATGATCATCCTCCTATCACACACATACTTAATTCAATTACACTGATCCTCCAGCCCCGTGCCTTTTGTTCAGACTTGGCGTCTGCGGCGGAAGAAATCTGTGGGTAGTGTGGCTCAGACTGCTGCGCAGTATGAAGGCCGAGAGGTTAATGCGCTGTTTTGTTTCTTTCCGGCAGAAGAGTCACTAGGTCTAGACAAGGTTACGCTATGATTGAAAGACTGCTCAGAAAATCTAATTACAATTCTCTCTACTTGTGCCTATGCTGTGTTTCTCGGAACACTGAAGAGAGAACACAGTGATTCTGAAGAAGACATTTAAGGTCCACCAACAACCTGCAAACTTCAGTTTGAAAAATATTTCCCTAGAGGTCAGCTGAAGTTCAAGGGGCCCCAGAGGAATGGAAACTTGAGCAGCAACATCATTTTTTAGCCAAATCATTCTTGAGCGACTGTGGTGTAGCAGACTCCATGTTAGGGCCAGAAGATATACAGATATGTAAGACATTGATCCTGTCTTCAAGGAATTCACAATGGAGAAGACAAACATGAACCCATCATAAGGTTTTGTTATGCTTGCTGTATAAGATGTAGGGTGTAGAAACTCTGACCAGGAAGTCATCTGTTCTACATAGTTGGACAATCCAGAAAGGCTTCAGAGAGGAGGCTCTAATATTTAAATAGGGTCATGAAAGATATATAACTTTTAACAGGTAGAAAAGGAAAGAACATTTTGGGTTGAAGAAATTATACTGTAAATGATTCCAAAGAAGCTTACATCAGACATTTGTCAAGAAAGCGGAGTTGTTCTGTCTGATGTTATCTACTTACATTAGCTCTGTTGCATGGCATTTATTTCTACATTGGCAAATACAATAATATAACATTGTTCATATCATCTCATCAACAGCAATATCTAAGGAGCTACATTTTCCTTCATCCTCTCTGTATCTCAGGACCCATCGACTAGAATCAGCCTACTTGTTCAAATGAAGAAGGAGAAAATTGAAGGAGCCCCATTTTGGCTTTTTATATTTTCCCTCTAAAGCCCAGCCTGAGATCAATTTCTTAATGTCTAGTTGGCCTTTTTCCATCTACTTTTTAGTTCTTCCCACATATGTTAGGTGCATGTTTACTTACTTTTTCATCAATTTTATTCTTGTTAGCTGAGTTATTCTTGGCTTTCCCATCTCTTTGTGTCTTTCTCTATTATTTCTTATTCATCCATCACTATTCTGAAGCTTTTCCATGTCAGTGTTTTTAAATAAATTATTATAATGTGAAAAGTACAAAACAAATGTTTGCTTTTATACAGCCATTCTAAGTGTTTGTTTCATCAGTGTTATTGGCTTTTTGTAAACTCCTTGATGGTAGCCAGTAGGATGTGTCAAGATCAAGGATCCACTGCCCTTCTTTTCCTTGCTAAGTGAGATCTCTGGCCCCTTAATGCTCTCAGTGAGCCAGGAAAGTACCTAGGTGCAGGTGTTAGCAAGAGGTAGCACTATTTGTGTCAAAAATGGTTTGACTTTGGCAAAAATGACTACATTTATAACTGACCCTTGGGACAAGGGATTGAAGGTCCTGGTGGCTCTAGGACCAGAAAATCTGAGAAGTGACTATTTTCCTTAGACTTTCCACTCTGAGTCTAGAATCTGTAGGCAAGAGATGGGATATATTAATAAAGGGGAAGGCCATATTAATAAAGGGGAAGGCCACAGCTTCATACTGAGCCTGGATGCTTTTGTTCCGCCTGAGTTCCTCATCTGAGGTGTAGACTGGTTTACACAGCAATGAAAATTCTCTTAGACCTCTACCTGACCCCACTACAAAGAAGCTGGGCTAAAGGATACAACCCTCTGAGATATAAGCACCCAGACCCTAACATATCCCTAACACTTCTAAAGTTGTGCTACATGATCTCAGAGCAAATGTGAAGATATTAACAGATGTTACCTGGGGAAAGAAAAGGTTCTATTAACAAATACCTTTGGAGTCAATTGGGTTAAGCAAAATACACAAAGTTAAACAGGATTTTTTGTTGCAGACCCTCTGAAATCTATGTATTAATATTTCAATGTTTTGTTCCAAAAGTATGTTGAAGTTTAAGGATTTCCCAAACATATAATTCTTTTTGCATAAAGTGTCCTTGAGAAATTACTATTTAAATAGAATTCACAAAGCAAAGCACAATATTTTAAAGCTTATCTATAGCTATGGGCTCTATTGGCTACAAAATGGGGCCTAAACAGAAGATTCCATAGCTCCCCCACCCCCCTGCATCCATCCAGTGTGCACCCATGAAACTAGGTTTGTGCCCATTGGACTGTCTGCTGGTTCTTCTACCCATGTCAGCACCTGATCTGAGCATTTTATTTGTAGCCCCAGGCAAAATACTTTGATTTCAATGGAATCCTTGAGCAGTATAGCAGAGTTCCGTCTGGTAGTTGCATGATACATAGGGTGATACCAATTGTTATTAAGCAACAATTCCATTTTTATAACTAGTATTTAGTAGATACACACAAATCTGAGATTGGATTGCTGGTGATTTTTTTTACATGTTTCAACCTGTACTGTAAAAATGCTACTGGGATTGCAATGTTTATATTAATGAGTAGAATGTGCAAAATAAATATGTAGAAGTATTTTAGCTTAAAACTGTTAAATTTGGGAAATGTAAGGATCATTACTGGCATTATGAGGATTTTTTCCTCTGTGTACAAATCATGTGTATCTAGCAATGTTTTATTCCATTTTCCTGTGTTGGTGTGTGTAGCATTGGTGAGCGGTGACCCACCTTAAGACCCTTTTCTGGTTTCCTCCACAGACAGCGTGGAAGATGAGCTGGAGATGGCCACCGTCAGGCATCGGCCTGAGGCCCTGGAGCTTCTGGAAGCCCAGAGCAAATTCACCAAGAAAGAGCTTCAGATTCTCTACAGAGGATTTAAGAATGTAAGAACTTTCTTTTTGACTTTACCTTCACACAATTCCAAAGGAGCATTGAGAAATGAGAGGGAAAGAGGGAAGATATACCCTTCTGCGAGAGTCCCATCATCTGTGCATTTCATGCTGATCCTCCCTAGATATGAACACAGTTGATATCCATTTGGACTTTGATTCACTTTGGCACACCAATTCTGGTACAGTGTAGTCACCATCAAGGATGGGTAATGAAAAAGGTTTATTCAAGTCAGTTCTTAGTTGGGATTTTTTTTCTTACTTAGCTATATAATGACATCATTTCAATAAGCTCTGATTATTTCCTGATTTTTTTAACTATAGTCTGGTGCTTGACTTGAATCTTGAACATAGATGGGGCCCCATAAAGAAACCTTTGCCTGCATTGGAGAAAAATGACTATAAGTTTTGTAGTCTGTAAAGGCCCATGCTGCCAGTGACTCTAAACCATAAGAGTCTGTGTGTTCAGCTTTGTGTCTGGTTCTCTGTGATCAAGTACACACATGGCCCTCCCTCCTTGGAGAATCATCTTCAAAAGTAATGACAGCCCATGCATACCAAAGGTGAGGGTGAGAGAGAGTGAGTGGATGCAGGCAGTCTGTAAGACACACTCTCTTACTCAATGCGGTATGAACTTAGTAGTAAGCTAGATGCTACAGGTTATTCAAAAGCCAGAGAAGATCACTTCTGTCCTCAAGGAGCTCATAGTCTAAATAGGGAGAGAAGACTTGCACTCATGAATCTATTTAAAAACAATTCATCCTTAAAAGTAATGTTTGTATATCAATTGGCGTATGTGCCCCAATGTATATTATGTTCTCATACATATGGAAAGCAAAGTAGCTATAGGTGCCCCTGGAGATCCAAATTAAATTACTTTGATCTCTTCCCAAACTCACCCACTAAGAGCCCCAATTCCATGGCATGCAGAAGTCTATGAAGACACTGCAGAAGACACTGGCATGCAGTGTCTAAAGATTTCTGCTAAATTTGGCCTCTTCAAATCTGACTATCTCAACTGCCGCCTTTGTCCAACCTCATGCAGACCATGCCTCTTCTTTGAAATCCAAAGCAAAAAATTTACTCAGAGAATTTGTAACTCTAGTTGACTCTGCAGAATATATTTATAGGATTTCATCATACATAATGCACACAAGCTCCTGTCATCTCTGTGACTGAGTTGGGTCTCTCTCCCATTTCTTCTCCTCACCCCACTCCTTGCTCTGGGCTTTCTAAATTTTTCTCCCCCTATTATGCAGAGTACCTTCCTTTCTTCTCAAAGACATAGTCTTCTGCAAACATGTAGGCCTTTGTGGTGGTAGACCAGGGAGTTCGAGGGAGGTTCTGATGGAAATGGGGTGCTCACCACACACACAGGCCTCTGATTAAAAGGAATCTTGATGGGTAATCTATCAGGAGAATACACAGATATAAACATGCATACAGAAAAAAGAACTTTGACAACTAGCTTAGAAAATTGTTATGCTCATTCTACAATGGTTCCAGGCTTCAGAGAGAGTGAGTTTTTACAATGAAACAGCTGCACTGATGCCTGGCAGTAGAAAACCACTGGGCAGAAAGGACTGGAAGGAAAGGAGGTGTAGGAGACCAAGCCTTGGCCAAAAGTCAGTGCTAAGAAGAGGTTAATCACAGAATAAAACTTCAAATGTGTTCACATGAACATCTAAACTTCCTTGCTGTAATTCAGAGATCCATTAATAGGCAAACATTTTTTCCTTGTTAACATTGGATCATGCATCAAATACAAAATGGTGTTACATACAGGAGAACTTAATCCAACCTCCCAGCATCCCTGTGTTCCTCGACTGCTGCTATGTTATTATTCTACTGCCTTCACTGTAGGGTCTCTCCATTTGGGGTTGGGCTGCCTTTCATCCCATTTATTGCAAATTGGAACCATGATTACTGCCATCATTAACCTTTGGAGCTAGCATCTCTGCAGTGTGTCTTATACAAGTGGCACTTCACAATAAATTGCCAGGCTCCCAAGTCTGAATTCATTGCTTACTTTTGTTTTGTTTTTCTCCTTTGCCTACGTGTCCTCTCGTCTTTCATTTCTACCCTTCCCCTCTTTTCCCACCCTCTTTTCTGTCTCTTTTTTCCTTCCCTTATTACCCCACTTATTATTTATTCACTCCTCCTTTCTATCCTTCTTTCTTTACCGCTTTTGTCTTTTCCCTTTGTCGATGCTTGAATCCTTTCTTTCAGCTCTTCCCCTTCCTCCTGTCTCCCTATATATTTTTTCTTCTCTCTCCTTACTGCCTTCTGTTTATCTCCTGCCTCACCCAGCCCCATGTGATAAATTTCCATCAGACCTGAATGTGCCCAAAGCCTATTTTATATACTTCTTTAATAGAAAGGACTTCACAGTTTGCTGAGAAAATATTAATCGACATCTCTGATAAATCAAACAAGAGTGGCCTTTTAATTTTGATTTCCCCCTAGTCAAATGTACAGCTTCAATAAATGTGCCCGGAAGCATAGCAAGAGAGACATGAAAGCAGGTCAGCAGCACAGCACGCATGTTTTCTGGATGGCAGCGGTCCGCCCCAGCCTCTGTCAGAGAAAGCAAACCAACTGCCCTTGGTTTCCTGAACACCAATTATCTCAAAGCCCTTAAGATCAAAAAGCATTTCCCTGGAAACAGTTGGGATATTCATTTTTAATGAAACCTTTTAAAACTCTCCATATTTTGATTAAAAGGATAAACCAGTCATCAACATCTTAAAATAGTCACACTTGTATGAAAGTGGTGCAACATGGCCAGCCAACCCCTGCAAGTGAAGATTACCAGCACACTCCCCGTATTTTCCCATGCGATAGCTCTTAGGGCATTCCCCCTCGTTTTCTTTCCTTCTTTCTTTATTTCAAAGTATTACAGGAGTACCAATGTTTTTGGGTACCTGGTCTGTCACCCAGATGGTGTTCATTGTACCCAGCAGAGAATGTGAGAAAGGGAAGATAGTGAGAGAAAATCCCCTCCCCTCACCCTGTCTTACTGAGTCACCCACACATTTTTATTTCTCTTACCGTCTGCTGGGCTGGGTCTCTCCAAATGGGTGGCTGATAGGGATGGAGAAGAATACAGGGCGGTGTTTCTCCACGACTAGTGAGCCTAACAGTCACCTGAAAGGTTAGTTAAGATGCAGATTGCTGAGCCCCATCCCCAAAGATTATGACCCAGTAGTATGGGATTAAGTCACAGAATCTGCATTTCTTTTAGGTTCCCAGATGATGCTGACTCCGCTGGTCTGGGAGCCGCACTTTGAGAGCCGCTAGTGTAGCACACACATCATAAACGTCCTACACGTATACAGTGTCACTTGGGTCATATCTTACTTGTTTGGGAAGCTTCTTCTGACTCAGATCTGTGCCTATTTGTCTATAAATTGGGATAATGATGACTACATTGCATTCTCTTAGACATAAATATGATAAACATGAAGCCCAACAAAAAGGAGTTGTTCTTGTATGGCCCTGCATGGTCAACTTCAGTTGTGTGTTCCATTAAAGTGGGGCAGTCATGGTTGGCCTACATACCTCCAAGGCAGTGTTTTGGGTATTGGACTACATAATTATATATTAGAAAAGATGCAGAAAGATATAAAGTATTATCCACGGATCAGCAGTCTCAAACTTAAATGCGCGTTGGAATCAACTGGGGAGCTTTCAAAGTTAAAAATAGTGGGTACTGTGCTTGGTGATTCTGATGTAATTGCTCTGGAAAAAAAAGGCTTAAGCATTAGGACTTATAAAGCTCTTCAGGTAATTTTAGTGTGCAGCCACAATTGAGAAACATTGAAATAACTATATAAGATTATAAGGTACTTCTATCACAAAAGGAATCTACCTAATTGTGCTGAGTTCTCTAATGTCAAATACCAATGACTAGACTGGCTACATTGGAACCTCATGAGGTCCTTGGTGAGTGGAGTGTGTGTGTGTGTGTGTGTGTGTGTGTGTAATAGGGTTTGTAGGTATAACAGGTCTCACCTCTGATGATTTCAATTCAATTAAGTCTGGGGTGATACTCAGGAATCCTTTAAAAATATTCTCAACTCCTTAATTTTTAAGAAATTTCATGTTATAAGAGACAGTGAACAGAAAGCCACATTTGAGAACCACCGACCTAGGAGGTCATACAAGTATCTGTATCCATGGTTCATAACCTTGTTTTGCTGCTCTCTTTCAAAATCAAGTATAACTTTAGTTCAATTTTAGGTGGTTGTAAATGGTCTACAGGTGCATTAAGTTTTAATATATGGGGATGTCTCTCTGGCATTTCCTTTCATTCATTAATAATTTATAGCCTATTCTTCCCATTTTTAAAGTACAAGATGATAGATAGATACAAGTAGTTAGACCTCAAGGCTTCAGTCACCTGGCTCCTTCCTCTTTCCAATCTTTCCCTGTTTCCTTTTCTTCCATTGCTTCAAATTATAATAGGTCAATGTATCTGTTAGAATCAGATATGTCAGTAAGGCATCACTTTAATACTTGTTAATGTCCTTTTTACCTAAAAATGTTGTTACTACCTTTTGTACCTAAAAAATAAAGATGTCTGTATTAGTTTTCTATTGCCTTCTAACAATGTGCCACATACTTAGAGGCTCAAAAAAATCCATTCCTTATTTCACAGTTTCAAGAGTCAGTGGTGCAGAAACAACTTAGTTGGGACCTGAGATTGGAGTCTCACGGGGCCACAACCAAGGTATAAGTTGGGCTGCATTTCTTTCTGGAGCCTGAGGTCCTCTTCTAAGCTCACTCGGTTGTTGGCAGAATCCAATTCCTTGTGATTGAACAAGTGAGATCCCTCCTGCTGGCTGCCAACCTGAGGCCACTCAGCTCCTGGAAGCCGCCTGTGGTCCCTTTCCACGCGGGCCTCTCACAGACTCTCTTGTCATATAGCAGCTCCCTTTCCCAAAGCCAGCAAAGGAGAGGCTCTCTGGTCTCCTAAGGCATGATCTTACAGA